AATAACAATTAGCCCAAATGTGTGAAATGACTTCTTTAACCTCATATATTATTTTTTAGAAAAGAAATACCCTCACTTTTTATGGAATAATACCCAAAACCCTAGGCACCTAAGACAACTACGGCCACTTGCCACCATCGCCGACAGTCGTCAGACGACGCACGCTCGACGATCGTGAGTTGATCTAGCAGTTTCTGGCTTAGATCGAAGGCCAAAATGGCTAGATGGCTATGGATTTGGGCCGTTTTTAGCCAGATCCACGACCGTTAATGGCCATAGATCTAGTCGTCAATGGCCAGAATGGATTAGCTTTTCTGCCAATCCACGACCATCTGGCCGTTTTCGGCCTTCAATCTAGCCAGAAATGGCAAGATCAGCGCACGACATGCCAATCTGATCGGTTGTGGCCATTCTGGCAGCTGTCAGCGGTGGCGGTCGTGGTGGCTGGCGGCCGACAATCGTCTTGTGTGGTTGGGTATTTTTTAATTTTAAATTTTGTTGTTGGGTGTGTTAGCTAAATCTCAAATATAGGGGGCTAAAAAATGTTCTTAATAATACTAATAATAATATTAACAAAGAAGGGCAATTAAGTGAAAATCCTCGACAATATTTTATTCTCTCAATCAAAAGATATTATTATTTACTCACAAATCTAACCAAATATATTAGTAAACATTCTCCCATTAATCTTTAAGGTAATTTATCTTAGTGGTAATCCTATATGTGAGTGATAAAGAATTCCCTGTAATAAATGCACCCTTTAGAAAAATTTGTTTTAAAGTAGGGGTATATTGTCCAAAAATTTATTAATAAAGGATAAAATTGTAACAAAAAATGACAACCCTGGTAATCTCAGAATACCTAAGAAAATAGAGGTAATCAGATTACCTCCTATATTACCCATAGTAACCATTATTAGTATTTGAAGATCCGGTATCTTATATTACTTGACAACCAAACATGGTATCAAGTAATGTAAGATGACATTACCCAAGTAATCCCACATAACCCTAACCAAACGCCCCCTTAAGGTAATTTATCTTAGTGGTAATCTCTGTTTTAAAACTCGGACCGGACCGATTGGTCTGACCGGTTCGATCGGGAGCCGTCTTTTACTCGGTCCTGGGTTTACATAAAACGGGATGTCAATAAATCCGTTTTGGACCGGTAATGGACCGACGGAACAATACAAAACGTCGAACCGACCGGCCCTAGGCTTAAAATAGTTCGTCTAATTCAGAAAAACTCATATTCCTAAACTAATTTCAACACCGTTTCATTATCTTCCATTTTCATCTTCAACTGTAAAGAGAAGTAAGGAGAGGGGAAGGGAAGGGAAAGAAGAAGAAAGAGAAGAGGAGACACGAGAAGAGTAGTAAGGAAGAAGATTAGAAGAAAGAAAAGAGGAGATGAAGAGAAGAGAAGGAAGAAGATTAGAGAAAGAAAAGTGGAGATGAAGGAAGAGAAGGAAGAAGAAAGTGAAGAAAAATACAGTATAGCAAGAAGAAATAAGAAGAAAGAGACGAGGAAGAAGAACGGAGAAAGAGAAGAAAGTAGAGCAAGAAGAAAGAAGAAGAAAGAGACGAGGAAGAAGAACGAAGGAAAGAGAAGAAAGTGACGGAGTGATGGGGGGGGAGAGAGAGAAAAAAGGAAAAAGAAAGAAAGGACGGAGAGTGAGGCATGATGGGGAGAGAAAAGTGGAAGACGGAAGTGATGGGAGAGAGAGAAAAATAATTAATAATAAAACTTGAAGGTGTATTTATTTATTTTAAACTTAAAGGGTTATATTAACTTTTAGGGATGTATTTGCTAATTTTTAAACTTATAACAATTAATAGAATTGCTTAAAGATGGTTGTTACATACCAGTCAGACCGATCGGTCCAATTGATTGGATTGGTCAATCCATAAACGCCCTTTAACCGGTCAATGAACGATCTGATTTTTAAAACATGGTGATAATCCTATATTTTTGTAAAGATTCCGTGTAATAAATGCACCTTTTAGAAAATTTATACACTAACTCATTTAAATTTGATGACGTAGAACATGAAAACTAAAACTCTAAAAATTTTATCAAGATCCATTGAATCTTCATTTGCAACTCTTTATTGTGTTGGATTAGAGAACGTGCAATGAAGAACGGCATGACTTGTTCACCCTCCTAATATAAACTTAAAAGGAGTTCAAAGAATACTTTACATTATAGCGATGGATGAAGATTTTCACTTGGATGGAATAAACAATCAATATACATTTTAACTCAAAAGAAGAAGAAGCTGAAATGCTCCTGTTTTAATGGATGCTTTACTCATTGAAACATATCAATGAACCTTTTATTCTACTATTACATATTTATAACTTAACAAAAAATCAATTAGAGACATTTCTGCATTTAATCAAACATAATGAAGCTCTATTTGAACTAGTGACCAGCTTTGGGTTGCCTGAACCTGCTGCACAACTCCCCTCCCACCCAACAGCTGATGCGCAACCATCAGCTCCTGTTCACTAGCTTCTTTAAAAGGAATTTCTCACCATCCAACTCCTTAACAAGCTGTCATCTTGCAAATTGGTATGGCCATCTCGCATTGTAGAGAAATTGTCGCAGATAAACCTGTTATCCTCTGGTGAATAACTCTGCATGGAATAGACGGTTAAGTTTTGCTTTACATAAAAAATTGGTCGGAAAAACATTTTAATATGATATTGCAAGTTTCAGTTATATACCTCGGCGTGATACGAAGGAGTTAATACAGTCATTTTGTGTCGATTAATGGAATAGTACTTGAAGAGTATTTGACTTTATCAGCCACCTCTGATGGGGTTAATCTTGCACCCCATCTGTAGCAGAGATTCGAACAAGCATAGTACCATAAGAATCAGTTTACTAACAAGCAAAAACTGTGCGCACATGAACATATTTAAGTTCAAAGTCGAAACCTTGAACACTTGATAACTGGACCACATCGGAAAATTTTCCGTAACCTTCCATACACTGAGAGTTCCTCATATGTCATTCCCATGTCCACTTATCCAGCTGTTCATGCAGAATGTGATGTTACACACACATTCTAGATATGAATATTATTATTTGCAAAAATTCAAGGAAACTAATAACATAGGAAAACTAAACTATAAACCTCAGGAACTGAAAGAGAGAGACACAAGATCAAAATGAAGGCGTGTGGATCAAGATGTTGAGATATAAATAAATAATAGCGTATATGAAAATGACAAACTTGCCACAAGGATGCGACTAACGACCAGAGTATATAATTTCTTTGATCTTCTTGATGACAAAACCTTATGTAACTCATACTGATATAAGTTTTTCCAAGAGAGAGATCAGAATAACATGTCCCTAAAGAAAAAAAGAAGAATGACAAAAGTTTTCATGACATAATACCTGGCTGTAGTTTGAACGTAGGGCTCTAATCAGCGGTAGGTGGAGCTGCTTCAATTTCTGCTAAGGAAGAGTAAACCGAGATGGGCTGCAGCCCATCGTAGAAATTTTCGCAAATCCTGTTTACTAAGTTCCAAGGGTTTATATCTGTGAGCTGCAATCATACTGGAACAGAAATAAAAGTAAGTTCCCATCAGAAAATCATAATACAGATGAACTATTAACCACATATTCCAATAAAAAGAACAGCACCCCAAAGTTAATTAGATTAACACACATTTTACCAGCTGAACCAGAAGTTAATAATGGAAACAGCACAATGAAACAATAGCATACCAAAACACAGAACAAGAACTAATTAAACCCCTCACAAAGTCGATAATAAAGTAATGAAGTTCTGTAATCAGAAAAGTTTCTCCTTTTGGGAAGGCGGAATTATAACAATCGGCAACATGGAGCTTCTTAAAAATGCTTAAAATCATATACCTTGTCAGATAACCACGTAAGCCTTCATCCACATTGGAACTACCCAATACCAGATAAAACCCTGGTTTATTATGAACCCAAGGCAACAGTGATGCTAACATAATGCCAGCACCATTCTATCGAGTTGAATGTTTTGCAATCCCAGGTTCTCGATGTTGATCCCCCATCTACCTATGAAAAGAAAACCAGATTAACCATCATTTTAAAGCAGACAAAGATAACCATGACCGTTATCAATCTCAGGACCATGTACAGCAGGATCACAAGCCCAGTATTGATGATTCTAAAAGGAAACTTTGTTCTCAAAGGAAGTTGAGTTTCCAACACTTTACCTTATAACGTGGCCGCTTTCCCAGTAAGTGTTTGAAATAAAGATAGAAGAGCGAAACAACAATGTCTATGCAAACATCAAGGTGCCATGAGCCAATCTCATCCGCTAGCTTCTGCACGCATCGTTGTTTCTTCGAACTGCAAGAAATAAACCTGGTAAATACCACTTTTATGGAAAAATGTATACGTAAAATAATTATGTAATCTTAAGACATAAGTAATGTTAAATCCATCAACTTATTTGATTAGTCCTTGCATGTGAGATAATTTACATAAGACAGTTCCATGTTACTTTGAAACTTAATAATAGGGACGTGATATTTCTGACATACGTGGAGACTAACTCTATGTTAGTAGCCAAGAAAAAATGAGCTCTGGGCTCTCTATAATAGTATAAGATAGAGATACCTTCAACAAGACAGTATTAGTATTGACTGTTAGTGCACAGATACTAACAATAGGCATAAAAAGGATAGCAATGATCTGCACACATGTACCTACCTGTTTTCAGACCCCAATAGACTGTATAAAAAATTCGTTTTGCGAATTCCTTGCGTCAGTAGGAAACTGTCATCAGATAATGTCCAATCGTATGCATCAGCTTTGACTTGTTCGTCCCCATTTGCATCTCTGCAAGCAAACCAAATGAACTCCAATCAGACGATGATAGACATTAATCTTGTTTGTGTTCATGGCATGAGGAAGAGTTGTTTGTTCTGGGCAGTACTATAGAATTTGGGGCTAGCTCACAGGGTAAGATTCGAAGAAAGGAGGAGACGGAATGAACGTCTATGTTAAATATAATAATGATTAAATATGATAAATGCATGATTTGAACACCCTAACATTATGTGATTCTCACCGATCACAAAGTATACAGAATGAGTACATATGGCAAGAGAAGAACTGTGACAATTGTTGACATGTAACAATGCAGTACTTTTTAAGACTCCGAATTTTGGAGAAAAGAAAAGAAACAAAGAAAAAGAAAAGGGGGGTGGGGGAATGTGGTTTTTACCACTGCTGCTAAAAGTGCCCCAATTCCTAAACCAAAACTTCAGCACCATTCACTTCATAAATTGTTGCTATTGGCGACCCATTGTAGACAACACCGGCAGGGTGTGATGGGGATCTATCCTATCTCAATCCTCCCAACTCTAGTTGTTCCATTTCTTCCCATATGTAAACGTCCAACTATTTCATGCACGTTAGCAGATAGATATGAAGTCATCACTGCCAACTGCTTCCATGGAAAAGGAAAACAATAAAATGAAAAAATTGAAAGGGAAAGACTCCATCCTGCCGATGTGAAATACTGACAGCCAAACAACCGAGACACTCGTGCCCAAAAATGGTGATGACCTGACTCAGGGTATGCAAATCCAAGACCCAACTCGACACACCCAAATGCATGCAAGTACTAGAATATATGCGGTAGCAGTTCGCCTCAAAAAGAAATTGCTTTACTGATGGCCAACTTGGCCCATTCAGCAGATTCCTTAATCATATGATCTTCTGCGGATAAACATTCATTTAGAAATTCTTTGCTTGACACAGATTGCTGAATCAAGGGACCTGCATTACTACCCAGGGTATCTGCTAGATCTCCAAGAACCCCGATTGCTGTCTTGGTCACCACCTCATCCCTAAAGAAAAACAAACAGTAAGGCACTATCAATATAAATATAAAATTCAGAAAATAAATGAAAAGAGTCTGGATCCCAGTAGTGCTTACATGTCCTTCTCCATGTACAAACTATCTACGAACTGAAGAATATGAGGTGCATAGGGCATCAATAGTTGGGTCTTCGGAGAACCCTTGAAACCTTGAAAGATACCCGAGTATGCCTCCAAGATTCCATTTCTCAAAGAATTGGTATACTCCATCATATCTTCATCAACACCTGATGTATGGACTGATAGCTCAGCTGCACTTTGAAGCATGGGCATAGCATACATCAAGTACTTCTCAAAACTTTCACCAATTGCCAAAGCAATGTCGCCAAAGCATGAAAAAATTGGAGGCTTCACAGATCTGTGCAACTGATTGCTTGACAAATCCTTGAGGAGTTGGGTCATAATCCCATCACAATAAGGCAATATCTTTTCCTCCAGAGCCCTGCATATATCCCCCACCACCCCTACTGTGATGGCACAAACCTGGTAATCCTCGAAATTTTGGAGACCCATTTCCAAAAACTTGTAAAACTCTGGCATGTATTTTGCAAAATCTGCACCTGTTACATAAGCAAGAGCACCAATGACAAGCATAGCCTCCTCATGAGCCGTGGCACTTCGAACAGCAAATACTCTTAAGAAGAGGCCCATCATCTGGTCTGCGTACTGCATGAAGACATACTTTGTTTGCTCAGATGAACCTAGCTTCTGTATGATGACCTGCAAACAACCGCAAAGAAGGCCTTGTATTTCATTTTGCTTCTCCCTCTCATCAGATGAGAGTTTTTGTCCCTCGAGAGTTTGGTGGAGCTCCATCATAATAACTGGAACTAGTTGCATCACCATTGGTGCTGTTTCGTCAGTAGAACACCTTACAACTTCGTTCAAAGTTTCATAAGCTGCTGTTCGGAGGCGTGATTCTCCAGCATCTTCCCGGTGAGTCGCAGTAAGAAGAGCCTGAACAATTTCCTGGAAAAAGGGAGTTAGAGGAGAAGATGATGATCCTGCATCCTCATAACCTTGGGCCAGGAAATAAAGAGCACCACAGGCTTTCTCGGCAACATTTGGAACATCTTTCATGCTCTGAAGCAGAACAGTAATGATCTGTTGGCAATTAGCTTGCGTAATTATAGGTGTTTCCAAAGTTGACCCATGCAGAAATTCAAACATTCTTCCAAGAGTCCATGCGGTAGTGTCTTTCACATGGTTATTTGGATCTTTCACAAGGGCAGTAAGCATGAAGTTCAGAGCGATGTTAACAAGAGGTATAAGTTTCTCAGGAGATGGACCTTCCAGAATGGAACCAAATGCATAGGTTGCAGCCTCTCTCTGCCTCCAATCTGGTTTTGTTATGTTTTCTTCAACAAATGGCATAACAAGCGGGACAACATCATCTCCAACTGTCCGAGCAACCAAACCCAAGCATGTGCCTCCAGCCATTGCAATATTCCATGCCCCTTCGTCCTGATCCTGATCCTCTTCCTGCTTAAGTAGCATCTCCAATAACATGGGAACTAGAACAGGGAGAGCTTGCTTAATAAAGTAAAAGCAAGGAACATCAGAATCCCCACTGAAATCACCTCCATATTCTTCTAATATATCTATTTCCTCATCACATATTGAACTCCAGAACTCAATTGCTTGTAGAGCTACTGGCTCCTCATCTTCCCTCACAGCCTTTGCCGTGATGTTGAATATATCCTGAATGTACGGAGCCAGTTTCTCGTAGTAGGTTGACGAAATGGCAACCAAACACTCAAAAGCTGCCTGTCTAATCTTCACTTCAGGAGAAAGAGTAGCCTCGCAGACAACTCTCATGATGTAGTCACGTTCCATGTCATTTGAGAAATTTGCCTGAGCAAAACCAAGAGCGTTATACAATGCTCGTGTAGCAGCAAGCCTTACATCATTGTTACTCTCAGAATTGCTCATACCCTGAACTACAGCTGTAAGTATCTTATTTACATGATCCTGATCTACCACATCCGAGGAAACTTCTTCACAGATATACCCAAGAGTTTCAAGGGTGGCCTGCTTGGTGTGAGCTGGAAGCTGATGAATATTTGACAAAAGAGCTCCAACTAGCTCAGGCCATTGCTTATGGGGCAACTCAATGCCTGCTACCTTCGCAATGACTTGAGACACTGTTGACCGTGCATCATGTGCAGGAGAAGAGAGAGTCTTTAGTAAGAATGATTTAATCTGGGCTTTCGCAGAGGGGTCCAACGACAACCATCGTTGTACGAGCTCAAACTTCCGATGTTGTTCTTTGGCATCCAATGCATTTTTGAGGATCAAACCTGCTAATTTACGACTCTCAACAGGCTTCTCGTCATTAGCCAATTCCCCAGCAAGGGCAAGTAAAAAGCCAGGAAGATTTTGCTCCTGATATTGTTTTAGGTTTTCTTCTGCTTGCTTCCGGACAGTGCCATCCACTGCTTGTGCATTTAAAAGGATTTGGGTGACTTCCGCGGCCATTAAAATCTGAAGTTAACACATTAGATCAATTAGAATGAAAAATTATCACATGTAAAATATCATATGTACTCCTAGCATTAGGTTCACAGAATGGAACATAAACTAAGAACCTCAATAAACAACTCTGGTCTTCTATAGAGGGGAAAGGAATATAAAACCATGTATAGTTTTATAGAATCATACTACATTGGTTTCCAGAAAGTGAAGGAAACGCTCCAAGCCATTAAGTGAAGTAAACACTCCAAGCTTCACTTTCTGTTCTTTTCAAATAGAGAAAGCTCAACTTCACAAAACCAGATAATCCTATTAACCTCGGTTAGTAAGTTTAGATTTAATATTTCAATACCAAGTAAATGAAACTAAAAAAATCCAATCGGCTATCATCTTCCCACTGTCTCATTAATCAAATGCGCATATCGAATTTGCACTTATCTTCTTGTACGGATAGTGAAAGGTCAACTTCACCAACCTTCAGCTGAACTTAGACAGATTTCATTGACGCGGTCGTAACAATCATAAATCACGATGTTACCGCTATTCATTCATCTTCATTCAATTTCAAATTGTCAACGCCCAAAAGCACATGCCCAATTCATTAGAAACTAAAACTATAGTCGAAACTCAAGTCAGGCTCACTCTGATCCCGAAAACATAACCAACTTATCTTGAAACTAATTTCCTAGCTCTTTCTCGGTAACCAAACGGTACACAACTAATTTACTAAAAAAAAAAAAGAAGCAACACAAACTTACTTTGATCTCAAAAAAATGAAGTATAACTAAACAGGTGCAAAAATCAGAACTTGGAGATCAAAGGTACTTACACCGAGTTGGTGAGTTGACTCTGAGAAACACAGCGAGTGAGCGATCGATTTGAGAGGAACAAAAAGAAGCGGCGTCTCTGAAACCCTAGCAGAGTGACGAGAAAAGCAGAGAGAGAGACTGTCAATGAAATGCAAGAGCTTTTGATTTAAAAATAATAATAATAATAGTAAAACTATCTTGTTTTTCTAATTGGCTTTCAGAATGGGCCACGCGGAGTATTCTGAGCGTTGGCTCGTGATGGAACTTCGTGCTTAAGAGTAGTTGTGAGGGTCCCGCATGCTACGGGTCTCGATTCTTGAAGAAGATAATTTCATTGGTTAAACTTGTTCACGCGCTTTAACGGTTGCTGGGAATAGATTAAAATTGTTGTCATCACGGTTATTATTACAGTTGTGATTTATTTTGTAGACTGGATTAATGTGCCTGAAGCCTGTAATTTCTGTACATTTTTGGTTGATTAAAATTTGATTAGAGCTTTGGTAGATACGAATCAAATTAAATATGGCTGGAAATATAATTGAATGAACCGTAAGAAAGAAAAAGCATGAAGGTTTGCTTTGACTTGACTTTAAAAATTTTGTTGACTTGGTAGTATAATGTTTAATGTTTGGTCGGTCCTTTGTGTCATTGACATTCTTAACTTAGCATTCTACCAAATTAGATCCATTTAAATGTAAGTGTACTTCATAATAATGATATCAGTATTAATATTTATATATTTAAATCCCGAAATAAATATTAAACTCTCGAGGTTTTTTAAAACCAAATAAACCCCTTATGATATCAGTATTAAACCCATTTGAATTTTGGCATTCTGATGGCCAAAATTCAATTCAACGCCACCTCCTAAGCCATTGTCCTCCATTTTATAAAACTTCTCTAATCTCATAACTCGGTAACCCGTTCGTCAGATGTGACTCACAAACATCGTTGTGATTAAGTTGATTTTTCCAATTGATTCGGACGTAAAAAATTCAATCTAATACCACCACCTAAATCACTGACCTCCACTCTATAAAACATATTTAACCTTGGCACTTGGTAGCCCCCCATTCGTTGGCTGTGACTCGAGTATTCAGTTTATTTTTCTGACCAAATTCTGACTGATTCCGGTGTCCAAAATTCAATCCGACACTACTTCTTGAACCACCAGTCTCCACTCTACAAAATTCCTCTAATCTTAGGCACTTGGTAACTCCTGATTCACTGGCGATAAGATTAGAGATTTGGGTGAACAATAAAATTGGAAAAATCGGACAGGAGATGACACCTGTTGACTAGTCCAGTCCAGTTTTCAGAACATTACTCCTAACTATAAATGGGTCTCAATTAGGCATGATTTATGAGAATTATGACAAGGTACTAGGTATGAGAGGAAGAGGGCTTTAAGGTCATTTACCCTTATTTTATCAAACTTAAACGAAAAAAAAAAAAAAGGACTGTAGAGGCTTAGAAAATACCCAATTTTTAAAAGGCCAAGCCGTTTAGACTACAGGCCGAAGACGTTGAAGTCAATAACCATGTTAGGCCCAAAAGAGCGGGTAGAAAAAGTAAGCGGACACGCGAAGTTGTGGAAGAACGAACGGCCAGGATCATCCCAACAACAACAACAACAAGAGATCCAATTTCATTGGCCCGACGTATGTGTGTCTTAAAAATGATTGGTCCACGTCATCAAAGATGACATGTTCTCTCGTAGCACTTCTATTGAATTAACAAAGGGCACTCCGTTTACACGTAAATCCCGACTCTATAAAAGGCTCAGTCCTCCACGCGCGATATTCCAGTGAAACCAAAAGCCTTTAAAACTCTAACATCGAAGCCCTCCCAGACAAAGAAAGGCTCTGTTTAGATTTTAGAGAGTGAAAGAGAGCGAGAAAGCTAGGCGGAGTTTAACTTTTGAAGTACGCGCGATGGCCGGCTCTTGGAGAGCACGCGGTTCTCTCGTTGTGTTCGCTATTGTCTTCTTCGGTGAGTTATTAGTTTCCATTTTTGCAAAAAGTTGGATTGGAAAAAATAGTAATTAGATCTGACTTCTTGTTTTTGTTATAGAGAAATGTAGTAGATCTGGTTTTTGGTTAACGGTTTGAGATTGAAATTGAGCTCGGAAATAGACACGTCTTGGATTGATTTAGCGACGGTTTAGATCTGATAATTTTTATTGATTTTGATGCATTCTATCTCGAAATGATTATTATTTTTGTTAACGTTGATGTTTCGTTAGATCTGATTATCTGAGAAGCAGTTACATATCTTAATCATTATAGTTTAATGATGAAAAGTTGACATCACAGTTGTTTAAAAGCAACTTTCTGTAATCCAGTTTTTATATTAACGTGAATGTCAGTAATGGTTTCTTGATTTATTTTATCTTCAATTATTTATGCAATGATGTATGTTATTATTGAAACAATTATTAAAATCATAACATTATCTTGATAGCTTGTTTTATAATTGAATAGTTTTAATATATTTGGAAGCATGTTTATTAGTATTAGTATTAATGTTTTACGTGGTGTTTAACAGGTGGTCTATTTGCTCTTTCGATTGCGAAAGAGGAAGCTGCTAAGTTGGGAACAGTTATTGGAATAGACCTTGGAACAACATATTCTTGTGTTGGTGTTTACAAGAACGGCCATGTGGAAATTATAGCCAATGACCAAGGAAACCGTATTACCCCTTCATGGGTTGCTTTCACCGACAGTGAGAGGCTGATTGGTGAGGCTGCAAAGAATCAGGCAGCTGTTAATCCCGAAAGGACTGTCTTCGATGTCAAGAGACTTATTGGAAGAAAGTAATGCATCATTTTGATTGTGCTGGTTTATGTTTTTATTGATTATTGAGGAATTGGTGATAACTGGGGATATTTATTATTGACAGGTTTGAGGACAAAGAAGTCCAGAGGGACTTGAAACTTGTTCCTTACAAGATTGTGAATAAGGATGGAAAGCCTTATATTCAAGTCCAGGTTAAGGATGGTGAGACCAAGGTCTTCAGTCCTGAGGAAATCAGTGCTATGGTGCTGACTAAGATGAAGGAAACAGCAGAAGCATTCCTTGGGAAGAAGATAAAGGATGCTGTTGTTACAGTTCCTGGTTAGTATAACGTACTTGTTTATACATTAAAATATGCATTTTGCAAGAAGAACTTGATTGATTGAAATGATGGTTTATAATTTTGCTCATCACTTTTTAATTTGCAGCCTACTTCAATGACGCCCAGAGACAAGCTACAAAGGATGCCGGTGTTATTGCTGGATTGAATGTTGCAAGAATTATCAATGAACCAACAGCAGCTGCCATCGCATATGGTTTGGACAAGAAAGGTGGTGAGAAGAATATCCTTGTCTTTGACCTTGGTGGTGGGACATTTGATGTCAGTATCTTGACAATCGACAATGGTGTTTTTGAGGTTCTTTCAACAAATGGAGACACTCATTTGGGAGGTGTGTACATATCTCATGTTCTGTATTAGTATTTGGATTTTTTTTGCACTTCTGGGACTTCCCTTTAAGTAATTCTGGAGCTGAGTTTTTTTTATTTTAGAGTGTTTTCATGTATAAATGTTAGTTGATCTTATTATTGCATGCTGATGGTTCATTCTCTTACAGGTGAGGACTTTGATATGAGAATTATGGAGTACTTCATTAAATTGATCAAGAAGAAGCACGGAAAGGATATCAGCAAGGACAACAGGGCTCTTGGCAAGCTCAGGAGGGAAAGTGAACGTGCCAAGAGAGCTCTCAGCAGTCAGCACCAGATTCGTGTTGAGATTGAATCACTTTTTGATGGTGTTGATTTTTCTGAGCCACTTACCAGGGCTAGGTTTGAGGAGTTGAACAATGATTTGTTCAGAAAGACCATGGGACCTGTGAAGAAGGCAATGGAAGATGCTGGATTACAGAAGAGCCAGATTGATGAGATTGTTCTTGTTGGTGGCAGCACTAGAATTCCAAAGGTTCAACAGCTTTTAAAAGACTACTTTGATGGAAAGGAACCTAACAAGGGTGTCAACCCCGATGAGGCAGTTGCTTATGGTGCTGCTGTTCAAGGTGGCATCTTGAGTGGAGAGGGTGGTGATGAGACCAAAGGTATGAATTCTCATTTTTCTGTTTATTTGCTTGTAATCCCGATGATATTCATAAAAATATTGATATTGGTTATGGACTGACAAATTTATTGATGTTCTGATTGCAGACATCCTTCTGTTGGATGTGGCTCCACTCACTCTTGGTATTGAAACTGTTGGTGGGGTAATGACTAAGTTGATCCCAAGAAATACTGTCATTCCAACCAAGAAGTCTCAAGTTTTCACTACTTATCAGGACCAGCAGACTACTGTCTCCATTCAGGTATTTGTCTTCTGTGTTTTTATCCCTTCAAGTAGAGAGTTTATGATTTGCTTAGGTTTCATTTGCTGTGATAGTAAATTTATTTGAGTTACTGATGTTTGTTCTGATATCAGGTCTTTGAGGGTGAAAGGAGTCTCACAAAGGATTGTAGGTTGCTTGGGAAATTCGATCTTAACGGAATTGCTCCAGCTCCTAGGTTTGTACCTATCTGTGTTTAGGTTTATAATTGTTTTTGGCTCGGAGCTAATGGCATTGTATTCTTTGATTGAACAGGGGAACCCCTCAAATTGAAGTCACATTCGAAGTTGATGCCAATGGTATCCTAAATGTGAAGGCCGAAGATAAGGGCACTGGAAAATCAGAGAAGATCACCATCACAAATGACAAGGGACGCCTCAGCCAAGAGGAGATTGAACGTATGGTTCGTGAAGCAGAAGAGTTTGCTGAGGAAGACAAGAAGGTGAAGGAGAAGATTGATGCCCGTAACAGCCTTGAGACGTACGTGTATAACATGAAAAACCAGATTAACGACAAGGACAAGCTTGCTGACAAGCTCGAGTCCGATGAGAAGGAAAAGATCGAGACAGCCACAAAGGAGGCTCTTGAATGGCTCGATGACAACCAGAGTGCCGAGAAGGAGGACTATGAGGAGAAGCTCAAGGAGGTTGAAGCTGTTTGCAACCCAATCATCACTGCCGTATATCAAAGAAGCGGTGGAGCTCCAGGTGGTGGGGCATCAGAGGAGGAGGACGATTCACATGATGAACTGTGAGAATCTTT